GGCCTCTTGGAGCCTCTTGGGGCCTCTTGGGGGCCTCTTGGGGGCCTCTTGGGGGCCTCTTGGGGGCCTCTTGGGGCCTCTTGGGGCCTCTTGGGGGCCTCTTGGGGGCCTCTTGGGGGCCTCTGGGGGCCTCTTGGGGGCCTCTTGGAGGCCTCTTGGGGACCTCCTGGGGGCCTCTTGGGGCCATCTTGGGGCCTCTTGCGACCTCCTCAGAAGCGCAAAGGAGCGCTGCCCCCTGCGAAGGACAACATGGGCCCAAAACCTTCGTAAAATGAGTGATTTTGCTATGAAGGAAAATGAGCGCGGCCCTTTCAGGAGGCCCAAGTGGGGCCAAAACCGTAGTAAAATCAATGATTTTGGTTTGAAAGAAGAGGGGAGGGGCCAACCCCCCCCCCCGTCGGGGCCAGAATCCTCGAAAGTGTCGTCGTTTTTTGGCCCTCCCAGGAGTCGAAAAAGACCCCCCTGACTACGCTCGGGACTCCCTCTCCAGGTCCAGGGGGAGGGGGTAGGGGGAGGGGTAAACCCCTCCCCGAAGGGGAAGAAGGGGGGTTGAGGACAGAGCGGGCTCTCTAAACCACTCACGCCCAACGGGCTGGTGGGATTGTTGATGTAATAGAGCGCGAGTAAGACGCACGAGCGACAACATTCCGTATCGCGCATACTCTGCAGGCACTTTTGCAACACATCGCAAACAAGCTAATGATCAGATCCGCCACCGTGCCTCGGGCACGGAGTGGGCGTGTCCTGGGGTCATCTGCCCCATCCCCTGGGCTTCAGTCTTCATTCCTCATGACCTTTTTAAAGGGACCAACGCCCAAATTGCCAAATCTCTCGGGGCTCGCCGCCGTGCCCCTGAGCTCCACCGCGTGCCCCCTTGGGCTTCCCGCCTTTCTCTCGCGTGACTCTTTCGGGCCCAAGAGGGCCCCATGTGTTATGTGCTATGTGCCGAATGTGCTGTGATGTGCTATGTGATATGTGCTGTTATGTCGTGCGCTATGCTCTGTCATGTTCTGCTGTAGAATGTTATGGGATGGCATGTTCTGTTCGGTTCTGCCAGGTTCTGTCATTATCGTGTTCTGTTCCACCATGATATGTTGAGTGATGTTGTGTTATGTCGTAATCGTCGAAGGTGCGCTGTTCTGTTATTTCGATGTTCTGGTATGAATGTTATGTGGGGTGCTATATTATGTTATGGTGTGCTCTATGCTCTGTCAGGTTCTGTCAGGATCTGTCATTATCGTGTTCTGTTCTGTCATGTTTTGCTGAGTGATGTTGTGTTGCGTCGTATTCGTCGAAGGTTACATGCTATGTTACGTTGATGTTATGGTCTTGATGTTACGTGGCGGGCTACGTTCTGGTATGGTGTGCTCTGTGATATGTCAATGTATGCTGTGGAATGTTATGTGATGCTATGTTATGTTCGGTTCTGGCATGTTCTGTCAATATCATGTTATCATCATACCTACCGGTATGATCTCGCACTGCTTTATTTCGACCGTGCGCTCTGTTGGTGGTTCTGCTGGTGGTCGTGCTGGTGGTCCTGCTGGTGGTTGTGCTGGTGGTTGTGCTGGTGGTTGTGCTGGTGGTCGTGCTTGCGGAGGTGCTGGTGGTCGTGCCTGTGGAGGTGCTGGTGGCCGTGCTGGTGGCTGGTCGTGCTGGTGGTCGTGCTGGTGGTTGTGCTGGTCGTCGTGCTGGTGGATGTGCTGGTGGTCGTGCTGGTCGCTGGTTGTGGTTGTGCTGGTGGTCGTGCTGCTGGTTGTGCTGGTTGTCGTGCTGGTGGTTGGTGGTGCTGGCTGGTCGTGCTGGTGGTCGTGCTGGTGGTCCTGCTGGTGGTCCTGCTGGTGGTCGTGCTGGTGGTCCTGCTGGTGGTTGTGCTGGTGGTTGTGCTGGTGCTTGTGCTGGTGGTCGTGCTGGTGGTTGTGCTGGTGGTCGTGCTTGCGGAGGTGCTGGTGGCCGTGCTGGTGGCTGGTCGTGCTGGTGGTCGTGCTGGTGGTTGTGCTGGTCGTCGTGCTGGTGGTTCTGCTGGTGGTCGTGCTGGTGGTTGGTAGTGGTTGTGCTGGTGGTTGTGCTGGTGGTCGTGCTGCTAGTTGTGCTGGTTGTCGTGCTGGTGGTTGGTGATGCTGGCTGGCGGTCGTGCTGGTGGTCGTGCTGGTGGTTGTGGTCGTGCTGAGGTCGTTTTGTGGAGGTGCTGGTGGCCGTGCTGGTGGCTGGTTGTGCTCGTGGTCGTGCTGGGGTTCGTGCTGGTGGTCGTGCTGGGTGGTTTGGTGGTGGGTGGTAGTGCTGGAGGTGCTGGTGGTCGTGTTGGTGGTCGTGCTGGTTCTGGTGGTCGTGCTGGTTGCTGCCCGTGCTGGCGGTCATCATCCCCCGCTCCTTTCCTTGCGCCCCCCCCCCGTTGCACTCGTGCTCCGCCACCCTGAACCTCCACAAGCGCCCTCCGCGTGCTCCCCCCGCCCTCGCTAGTGGTTGGTAGTGCTGGAGGTGCTGGTGGTCGTGTTGGTGGTCGTGCTGGTGGTCGTGCTGGTGGCTGGTCGTGCTGGCGGTCTTGCTGGTGGTCGTGCTGGCCCCCCCCCTCCCTTCCCTGCGCCCCCCTCCCCTTGCACTCGTGCTCCCCACACCCTGGGCCTCCACAAGCGCCCTCCGCCGTGCTCCCCCCGCCCTCCCCGAGCCCCCCTCCCCTTATTGAATCGCTTCGCTCATTCCGCCGGCCCGTGATGTGGCATCGCTGGTTTTTGTCTGTGTGTTCGTTGCCCATGTTGCGCTCTTGGGGGCGGGTGTCGTTCGGACGCGTTGCGTGGGGAGTTTTGATGGTGAAGCAGTTCCCTGGGGGTCGTCTCTCGATGGGGCGAAATAGAGTCGTCGTCAAGATGCTTCTTTGGGGGGCCTCTTGGGGTCTGTTGAGAGGCCGTTCGGGGGCGCCTGGGAGACATGTTTGAAGCCTTCTGGGGCTTCTTTTGGGCCTCCTGGGAGTCTCCTGGGGCCTCTTGGCGACATCTTGGGCCTCTTGGAGGCCTCTTGGGGCCTCTTTGGGACCACCTGGGCGCCTTCTGGGACGGAGGGCTCCATTTTTGAGTTCTCGGTATCCCTCCTGAGTCCCTCTTGGGCCCGTCTTGGGGCCTCTTGGTCCGTCTTGGGCGGCACTTGGGCCGTCTTGAGGGCTCTCTTGGGTTGTTTCGCGCGCCGTCTTGGGAGCCTCGTGGGCCGTCTTGGAGCGGTCTTGGGGGCCTCTTGGGCCGTCTTGGAGCGTCCGGAAGCCGAAAAAGCCAGAACACAAAAAACATCTAAAAAACCAATGAAAATCAACGATTTTGGCCTCTTGGGGCTCTCTTCGGAGGCCTCTTGGAAGGCTCTTGGGGCGTCTTGGAGGCCTCTTGGGCTGTCTTGGGGGCCTTTTGGGCCGTCTTGGGGTCATCTTCGGCGTCTTCGAGCGCTCTTTGGGCGTCTCGGGGGCCTCTTGGGCAGTCTTGGGGGCCTCTTGGGGCACTCTGAGCGCGCTCTGGGGAGCCTGAGAGGCCGCACCCAGAAGGAAAACCATCTCTGAGTAGACTTGGTCGGGCGGCGACCGGGCGTTGGTCGGGGTACTTTTCGCCGGGGGACCCCCAGGGGCCGCCCCGCGCGCGCGAACTAGAAATACTGTTAATACTGTTAACCAGTTACCGGAGATCTTAGCACGCCCTGGCCCGTTGGGCCGGCGAATTCCTTCCGTGCGCCCCCTCCCCCGCTCCTCCCCTGCGCGCCTCTCCCGCCCCCGTGCTCCCCCCGCCCACCCCGGGCCCCCGCGCCCTCTCCCCCGTGCTTCTCCCGCGTTCCCCAAGCCCCTCTTCTCTTATTCCGACCGTGCGCCCCCCTTGCCTGCTCCTCCCGTGCGCCCCCCTCCTCTTGCACTCGTGCTCCCCCCACCTTGGGCCTCCGCAAGCGCCCTCCGCCGTGCCCCCCCCGCCCTCGAGGAGCGGGGGGAGGGCGCGCGGTCGGAATAAGGGGAGGGGGGCCCGGGGAGGACGGTGGGGGCGTGGAAAGGAGGAGCGTGGGGAGGGCGCACGGTCGGAATAAGGGGAAGGGGCCCGGGGAGGGCGGTGGGGACACGGAGGAGCAGGCGCGGGGGTCCGGGGACCGTGGGGGGAGTACGGGTGCAAGGGGACAGGGGCGCAGGGGAGGAGCGAGAGAGGAGGGGCGCACGGTCGGAATAAGGGGAGGGGGGCTCGGGAAAGGCGGGTGGAGCGCGGGGGAGAAGGCGCGGAAGCTCGGGGGGCGTGGGGGGAGCACGGACCGAAGGAAGCGGGGCGAATGGGAGGAGCAGGGGGGCAGGTGCACGGTTGGAATAAGGGGAGGGGGAGTCGGGGACGGCGGGGGAAGCACGGGGGAGAAGGGCGCGGGGAGGGTGCGAGGAGGACGGGGGCAAGAGGAGAGAAGCGCAGGGGAGAGCGGGGGGGGGGAGGGGGCGCACGGTCGGAATAAGGAGTGGGAGGGGCTTGGGGACGGCCGGGGGAGCACGACGGAGGAGATCGAAGGCGCGGGGGCCGGGGAGCGTGGAGGGAGCACCGGGGGCAAAGAGAGAGGGGCGCAGGGGAGGAGCGGCGGGGGGGCGCACGGTCGGAATAAGGAGAGGGGGGCCTGGGGAGAGCGGGGGAAGCACGGGGGAGAGGAGCGCGGGGGCGCGGGGAGGGTGGGAGGAGGACTTGGGCAAGAGGAGGGAGGCGCAGGGGTTAGCGGCGGGAGGAGGGGGGGGCGCACGGTCGGAATAAGGAGTGACGGGGGCTCGGGGACCACCAGCAGAACCACCAGCACGACGACCAGCACAACCACCAGCACGGCCACGAGCACGACCAGCCACCAGCACGGCCACCAGCACCTCCACAAGCACGACCTCCATCACAACCACCAGCACGACCACCAACACGACCACCAGCACGACCACGAGCACCTCCATCAGCAAGACCAGCACCAGCACAACCACCAGCACGACCACCAGCACGACAAGCAGCACAACCACCAGCACAAGGGAGTGCAGCAGGCCCAACCAACAGCACTGGGCCAGCAGCACCACCAACCACCAGCACGATGCCGCAACGAGAACGGAACGCTGCGAACAGAAAGAGACACTGGTCAGAGGACGGTCGCCCAATGTTCCCAAGCTGCGGGGGGCCTATAGAGCTGCAGTGGCAGCGGATACCGCGGAACACACTGTTACAAACCGCCGCCGGCTAGGTGCATTGGACCCCTTGGTGATATTAGCATCAAGACCTTCAGATCTACCACTCAAGAGGCTACGATGTTTTCGTAACGCATGGGATGACTAAAAAACGGCACTCCCGACCCCCCCGCTTCGCGCTGAGGCCTTCTCTGGCGCCGATTTGGGCAACATAGATCCGCTTCTCGCGCCAACTAACGCGAAACCATAAGAATGCGGGGCGTCTCGACCAGACTCGGCATCAATTCCCAAGCGCGTTTCCGACCCTGCGGGGCGCCATCCCGCCCCATTTGTCGAGCCCTGGCTGGCCGTGGTGACGACGGCACCACTGTTAGGTCGGGCCTGTCCCCCTACAGAGGGATTTTGGGCGAACCAACAAAAACAACACATACTCCCCAGACTATTGAATACTCCTCCCGTAGAGGGACAGGCAGGACTTAACACCACTGAGGGGAGGAGAGAACTCGGGGGCGGCCGAGAGGGGGGCGCCCAAGAGAGGGGGGGCGCTAACCATGGCCAGCGGCATGTGCCGCGGCCAAGGGGGGGGGACCAGGAACGCAATGAAGTAAGAAGAGGCGCCATGAAATCTGAGGAAATACCGTGGCCCACGCCATGGTAGCCCCCCCACCCCTGGTCGTCCCCCCCCTCTTTACTGCCCCCGAGAGAACGGAACAGCGAGCGCGGCGGGCGAGGACGCCCGAAGAGGCAGGCGGCGCGTGCCGCCTGGCACGCGAGGCACGCGGCGGTCTTCTCCTGGCAGCAGGGCTCCGCCGGCGTGCTGCAGCACAGCTCGTCGTACCTGCCACGGACGCTCCCCTTCGAAGGAGGCTTGCATTCGTGAAGGGGGCTTCGTGGGTGGCGGTTGTGCGGGACGGGAAAATGACCACAACCACTGTTTCTCGTTTGCGCCGCCTTCCAGCCGGCCGAAAATCAAGCACTGGTTGTGGTCATTTCCCAAGCTCAACGGAAATGATCACAACCACTGCTTTGTTTCTGCTGGCTGGAAGGCGGCAACAGAAGAAAAGCAGTGGCTGTTGTCGTTCTCGCGTCCCGCAGGTTGCCCTGCTGGGGCGGGGAGGGGAGGGGGGCCCCTGGAGGGTCCAGGCGCCCCGGGGGCTTTCCAGGTCGAGGCGCTTGCCGGCCCCGCGCTGCCGCTGGCTCTGCTGGGGGCCCGGGCGTGGCTCCTCCCTCGGGGCCCCTCGTGCCCATCCCGGTTGCAGGCGGGGGGGGGAGCAGGGCGACCCGAGACAGCGGCGACCCGAAGCCGGTCCCCTGGGCCCCTCCCGGGGCCCAGACCGCTGCAGTACGATGGCCCTGCCCCGAATGCCAACTACCGTTGGCTCAACTCCTCCTCCTCCTCCTCCTCCTCCTCCTCCTCCTCCTCCTCCTCCTCCTCCTCCTCCTCCTCCCCCCCTCCTCCTCCTCCTCCTCCTCCTCCTCCTTCCTCTCCGCCTCCTCCCTCCCTCTCTCCTCCTCCTCCTCCTCCTCCACCTCCTCCTTCTCCTCTCCTCCATTCTCCTCCTCCTCCATTCTCCTCCTCCTCCTCCTCCTCCTCCTCCTCCTCCTCCTCCTCCTCCATTCTCCTCCTCCTCCATTCTCCTCCCTCGCCCATCCTCCTCCTCCTCCTCCTCCTCCTCGTCTTTCAGGGTCGGCGGCACCGGCCGTCAGGCCTTCACAGTCGGTCCCCTGGGCCCCTCCCGGGGCCCAGGCCGCTCCAGAACGATGGCCCTCCCCCGAATGCCAACTACCGTTGGCTCAACTTGCCATCCTTTCAGTGCTGGGTTTAGCTCGGGCCTGTCCGCCTACAGGGCGATTTGAAGCGAAAAATGAAACATACCCCCAAAATACTCCAAACATGCCAAAACATAAAAGAATCGTCACCTGATCATTATTTGACTATCTGTAGAAAGACAGGCCCGACTTAAAACCACCGTTGTCTCAACTCGCCCTCCCTTTCCCTTCGATGCTGGGGCCACCGCCCCCGCCGACCCCGCCGGCCCGCGCAGGAGCATCGTGTCACCGATCTGTCCCACCTGGCGTGGCCTGAGCCCCACTGGCCGATTTTCCCTCTACCCCAAATCCCTCATTGATCGACTCCCTCCTAAAAACCGCACCCCCCTCCAAATGCGACCACATATTCCGAACCCCCCTCTTCGACGGGGAGCCTTCATAAACTGGACCCCCTGAGCTCCAATCCAAAGAAAGCGCCCTAATAAACCTGAACCCCCCAATTACAAAAAAAGGCGCCTTAAAAAACCATATTAAAAAGGGATTTGGAATACATGGGAATCTTGTCCTCCTCCCCCTCCTGGTCGTCGTCGCTGTCTTTCAGGGTCGGCGGCACCGGCCGCCAGGCCTTCAGTCTTGGCTGCTCCCTCTGGGGTTCGAAGGGCCCATCCCCAACTGGTGTGTTGGGACAGTGGGGCTGAGATACCATGGCCCGGTGGGGACGGGGATAGAATGAACGGTACCGAATGTGGGCGAGAAACATATCCGCATCCACAAACTCGCGGGCCGGGCGCCCCAGCAGCGACCCCACGGACAAGGGGCGTTTTTTTGCCGTGGATGCCCCACGCGGAACGCACCCGTGCGATCGCGTATCCGCGGCATCGCATCGCGCCCCGGAATCTGGACCGCGAAGGCGCGGATATGGATACGTTCGCCGCTCGTGAAGCTAGGTGCAACGAGACTGATCAACATAGATACACCATACAAATTCTTGATGAACATGCGCGATAATGATGACAACCCCTTGGAAGCCAATTCCGATTTGTTGTCGAGCGTGGCTGGACATCGGAAGTGTCCTAAAATATACCGGAGGGAGACAGATGCAAGAGTCGTCTGCGGAAGCTCGCCGGTCCTTACCATCGATTCTGCCTGTAGTGGTGCAGCAACAGCACACGCCCAAACCTACCGGTGGGAAAGGGCAAATAAACGAAGAAGCTGCAAGTATTGGTGCGGGTTGTCGGACACCGATGGGGGCCCCCATTCGAACAATGACCGCCGTCCGACAGTACACGACCATTTTCCCCCCGAATTCCATACCGAGAGATCTAAGGGGGCATGGGCAGGTATGTTAGAAGGCAGGTCCTGGAAGCCTGGACAGTCTTCGTCAGAACAACGAATGCGCTATGAAAACATATCACATTGCGACTGAGCTGGATCAGGCTGGAGCTAAGCGGCGCTAGGGCGGGCCACGGGGGCGTAGACTGAAATACGCCAAATTTCGACCACGGATGTACCAGTGCCGATTCAGGACTTCCGGCCTCCAAGGAATGACATCCAAAGGAACGGGGTACTAGGGAGCCCCAAAAAGACGTTCGCGCCCAGCTATGTACATGAACGCGGCCCCTCGATCATTCGAGACTGGCCGCGTTATACCAACATTTGCGCAATGCGTTCTCTCGAAACCAGCGTGGGATCATGTACGTGTACGTTTTAAGTCGGGCGTGTCCTCCTACAGGCAAATTTTGGACGAAAAATTGAACATCCCACCAGCCCTCTGGGCTCAGGTGGTATAACACGTTTTTTTGTCTTCTCTCTTCCACTGAAACCCCTCCCCCTACCCCCTCCCCTGGGCCTGGACGGGGCGCGCCGCGAGGCGTTAGAGCGTCCTAGATGGCCCAAGATTGCTCCAAGAGGCGTTCAAAGTCGCAAGATGGCCTCCAAGATGGCCCATGTTACTTCAAGATGGGTCAAGATAGCCTCCGACATACCCCAAGAGGCCCCAAGACAGCCCCAAGACGGATCCAAGTGCCCTTCGAGCCCTCCACGGCGCTCTCCAAGATGCCAAAACCCTTCAAAAGCCTATGGAACATCTATGTTTTTGGCATTCTCGCCCATCGCTTCCAATGGGCTTTGGAAGCCTCAAGATGGCACCATGATGGCCCAAAAGGGCCCCAAGAGGGGCCCAAGAAGGCCGAAGACGGCCCCAAGATCGCCCAAGAGGCGCCCAAGAGCGCTCCAAGACGCCGTTTGAGAGCCTCCGAGGGGGGGATCCAAATTAAGGCGCCTCCTCTTTTTGAGACATGGGGCCCAAGATGGCCCCAAGAGGCCTCCCAGCCTCTCCCAAAGACTCTCCACCCCGCCCTTTTTGACCCAAAATGGCTCCAACAAAACCCTAGATAGCCCAAGGTGGCCTTCAAACTGGCCTAAGATAGCCGAGCATGGCTCAAGATAGCCTCCGACAGCCTCTAGCCGAGCATGGCTCAAGATAGCCTCCAAGAGGCCTCAAGAAAACTGGCAATCAATTATGGCTGGGCTGGTGGGGGTATTTTTTTTGGTAGCGGCCACCAGGGAGAGCGCAGGCGGCGAACAGGGAGTCCGGGCCGACGGGCAAACCGCAAACCTAATTAGCTGCAGGGCGCAGCATCAGCCCGCCGGGCCAGGCCGGGCCAGCTCACAAAAGCAGCACCTGGGGTAGCGGCAGCGGGGGGCTGGCTGGCTGAACTGGAACGCCCGGGGAAGCTCCGGCAACGTGCAGCCCTGCGGCAAAATGCAAGGAAATTCTGTGTTACGCGCTATGGCGTCAGACCACTCAGGTGAAGGTGCATGTTGGGACAGGTGGGATGACCTGCGCGTGAAATCCTGACAGACACGGTGGTGGGGAAAGGCGAGCTGGTGGGGATATATATTTTTGTTTTTTATATACGGCCGCAGGCGGAAGCGCCAGCGGCAGGCGGTCACGGTCGGGCTGCGGCCGCGACGAGGGGGCGGGCGCGCGCAGGGCCGCGGTCAGGCGGCGGGCAACGGCAACCCAGGGCGTCTGAGGAGCCAAGGCGTGCAAATCCAGGGAGTCTGCCGGGCAGCCCCTGAGGTGAACATGCAACGGCACATCCAAGGAGTCTGAGAGGTCAGCCACCGAGGAGAGCCGAGCGCAGCCAAAATGGCGCGCTAGGCGTTCCCACTGTGAACGAAACGGACGAACAGAAGTAGGGAACGATTTCCGTGCGGGACGTCAATCCAGGGAGTCTGACGGGCATGGGCAGACCGACGCTGGTGACGCAGTCCAGCGGGAAAAGTAAACTGACGGCGCCAGCGAACCGTCGCGACGTCAGAAACCGCATCCAGGGAGTGGAAGCCTGAATCGCCCGAGGAAGAACCTTCCACTGCTGAGATGCGCCTGCGTCCAAGGGACCAGCGATCTGGTCAGAGCGCAGCAAGGTGCACGAAGCCCCACGGTGAGAATTCGTTGGTCGCTGAGAAATGCACCGATCAATACGACCCAGCGCCACCCACACGCCTACGTATGGTAGCACCCGAGGGACGGGACCGTCGTATACCCAAGACGCGTCCCTCACAGCCACATCGTTCCAGGGGCACGGCCGAAGGCCGTAGAAGCTGGTAGAATCCAGGGAGTGGCGCAGTCTATGGACAGGCGAAAACCGCCGGATCGCCCACAACCGCGCGCCAGGCTGGGCCTAGCAGGTGAAAACAACTACAGTGAGGCCATGGGGCCCCGGGTCCACGCGCAACCGAGATTGCCGCGTGGACGGTATTACTGGCACGCACACTTGTATCCAAAGGCAGGAAGTGCGCGAGCCAGGGGGGGCGGCAGAAAGCCGCAAGCAGGCAAGGGGAGAGGAGCAGGAGGGCGAGGGGGGGGAGGCACGGGGCGACCCAGCAGTGGCGATCGGAGAACGGGCGAGATCGACCCGATCAACCAGGGGACCAGCCCCGACAGCGGGATCGGCAGAGATCCTGGTAGCGTTGGGCACGCGAAGCAGTCCCGTGGACCACCCAGGCGTCGTCCCCAGGGAAGGTCGATTAAGATCGAACGCTCCAGTGGAAGACCTGCCTCCCTGCGGCCACTGCTGCCAGGCTCACCCGTCACTCGCTCTCTTCCTCCTGGCTGAAGGCCAGTCTGTTCTGAGAGGTTTGCTGCGCGGGGGCTGGGCACGACTCTGGTGTCGGCGCCCGCACCTCCAGGGGGAAGGGCGCCTCCCCTCGTGGTCGCGGCCTCGGCGCCTCTCTCTGAGTCCATTGGAACTGTTCCTGGATCCTGAGCTGAAGGCTCGTCACTTCTGCGGTGGCCCAGAACGCCCAGGACCCTCGAGCTGAAGGCACGTCCAGCGCGGGAGTCTCGAGCGGAAGGCTCGCCACGTCCGCGACGGTCCGACTGGGGGGCGGGTGGCTGTCGAAAGTCTTCGGGATAACGGGCGCGTCCAGGGAGTTGACCGGTCGTTGCATCGACCCCGGCGCCGAGGCGTCCGCTTGGGGCGTCCCAGGCTGCTGGGTCGATCAAAGCTGCTGTCTCGCTGGGAGCTCCTCGGGCAGAAGGCCCATTCTCTGCGTGCTCAGCATCGCCCACTCCAGGAACGGCGGCGGGCGAGCGGCGCCTCCGGACGCCGCTCGTGGCCACCTGCCCAGCGGCACCCTCGACGACCATTGGGGATGTCTCCGACTCTCGAGCTGAAGGCCCTCTTCTCAACGGCTGCTGGCTGTGCCTTGGAGCTTCGAGCTGAAGGCTCGTTATGCGGAATCACAGGTCGCTACGAGGGCTGAAGGCCCGTCTTCTATGTCCGCTCTGCTGCCTCCCGATGCGCCTTGGGCTCTCGAGCTGAAGGCTCGTTCAGAGCGAGTATCTCGAGCTGAAGGCTCGTCACTTCCGCGACTGTCCGACTGGGGGCGGGTGTCTGACGAAAGTCTTCGGAATTCCAGGAGTGTCCAGGGAGTTGACTGCCCGATGCATCGCCCGCGGCTCCGAGCGGCCCGCTTGGGGCGCCCCAGGCTGCGGGGTCGGTCAAGGCTGCTGTCTCTCTGGGAGCTCCTCAGGCTGAAGGCCCATTCTCGGCGTGTGCGATGCTGTCAACTCCAGGAAGGGCGGCAGGCGCGCGGCGACCCCCGACGCCACTCGTGCCCGCCCGCCCGGCAGCACTCCAGAGGACCGCCGGTGCCGTCTCCGAATCTCGAGCTGAAGGCTCGTCGCCTCTGAGGTTGCTGGATGTGCCTTGGAGTCTCGAGCTCAAGGCTCGCTCTGCTGCATTACTGGCCGCTCCAAGGGCCGAGGGCCCATCATCTCCACCCATTCTGCTGCAACCCGCTAGTGTCCAGGGAGTTGACTGGTCGCTTCATCGACCACGGCGCTGAGGCGTCCGCTTGGGGCGTCCCAGGCTGCTGGGTCGATCAAAGCTGCTGTCTCGCTGGGAGCTCTCGGGGACACGGGCGGAATGCGCTCGGTCCGGCACGTCCTTTCAGAAGCAGAGATGGGGGAGGAAACGGTAGCCAGGGGGGGGAGCAAAGAGAAAAGAGGTGGTGGCCGACAGCCCCGGCGACAGGCAATGTGATAGCTTGGGCTCAAGCCAGCGCGCGATAGGAAGGAGGAGCGGCCAGAGTGAAACGAGGTGAAGCAAGGGCGGGCGCACCCGCAGCTTAGGTGGCGACCTTCCACTGTTTCTGGTCCATCTTGGGTGCGCGGCGAACAGCGCGGCCCTTCGCCGCCTGGCGCCCCCTGCCCGCGCCGTCACTTTCACCCAGGTACCGAAGCCGCACCTGCGCCCAGTCAACGCCGAGGTCCAGTGCGTCGCCCACGGCCCGCACGTCACAGTTATGGCGGCGGAAGGAAGCCAGGACTTCGACGCGCGTTTGCTGGTCATGCCGCCGCGGGTCGAGCGCGCCTTTGCAGCTAGGCAAGGCGCGCAGCCGGGCGAACGCGTGCCAGGCGCCTGTGAACCTCACTCCCAGGGAGGCCTGAAGCCTCTTTATCGCCTCGGCAGGTGTCTCCCCGGGGAGGTCCCACTGGATGTCGCCGATCTTAGTTTTATATAGCTGCTGTCCCGTGTCTGGGTCTAAAGGTTCTGGATAGTGACGCGCGGCGGGACCCCCGACCAGGGGCGGGGTGGTCAGCGGCTGGTCCTCGGCGCGGCGCCCGCTGCTGCTTCTGCGGCTGCTGCTGCTGCGTCCGCCGCCTGCCGTCTGCCGCCCACCCGACCCGCCAGCGCGGTCGGCGTCGCTGGCCAGGTTTCAGCCCAGGGGCAGCGGGGAGACAGGAGGGTGGCCAGTCACAGAGGCTAGGCAGGGCGTCTACCCGCCGCCACGAAGACGCGCTGGGGGAACGTGCCGGCCGCACTGCCGGCGCTCCTCGGCGCTCGAACTCGCGCCCTTGCCTGGGAGGGAGGGGCCAGGGCAGGTGGTGTCAGCCAGGGGAGTGAGGCGGTGGGTGATTGTCTGTTCCTGTTCTTGCCCGTGCTCCCTTTTCCGCGCTGGCGTTACTTCCGCGCCCTCCCCGTGGGCGGCCGGCAGCTCCTGCTCATCGGGCTCTTCCGGCTCCTGCTCCGTGTGCTGCTCACGCACACTGCTCTGCGACTGTTCCGACTGGTTGGGCCCGCCGCCGGAATCGTCTATGGCTTCGCGGGGCGCGGCGGCAACTGGTGCACGGAAGTCTGGCGGGGACTTGCGGGTTGGCGCGGGCCGCACGGTCGGCCGCCAAGTAAAGGCCGAATCGCCTCCAGCAGCTGGGGCTGAGGGGGCTGCTGCACTGTGGTAAGCGGGGGCAGGCTCCTCCCGTTGACGCTCGCCATCAGACTCGCGCCCGCCCTCGCCCGCGAGCGCCCCCCCGTCTGTCGCGGCGTGACTTTCGTCAAGCGTGGGAGTGCTGCGGGTCGTGCCTGGGCCAGGCACGTTGCCAGACACCGTTTCTTTCGCCAGGACGGGGGTCGCCTTCCTCAGCGTGGTCCGGCCTTCGGGCGTGAGTGGCTGCGGCTCGCTGTCCGTTCGGGCGGATTCGCTGACAGGGGAACGAGGGCGAATGGGCGCGAAGGGATTTCTCTCGACAAGCTGACGGACGGCCTCGGTGTCCTGCCTCTGCAAGGCGCGTTCGTGGTTACCCGGCAAGGGGTCTTCGAGAGTGCCGGGGACGGCGGCGGGCGGAGTCTCAGCGGGGCGTCGTTGGGTCTCGCCGCCAACCAGCTGCGTCGACAGCCCCCGGCTTTGCAAGTGGTGGGCTCCGTGTCGACCGTCAGCGACGGGGATGGCCTCGGAGGTGCTGGCTGGAGGGTCAGTGCCGATCGCAAACACGTGCTGGTCTGTGGCCCGCACGCACACACGCTCCGGCGTGAACTCCTGACCCTCGATGCTGCGAGGAGGCTCGGGGTAACCTCCACCATCCGCTCGGGGAGGCGTCGTCCGCTTTCTGCGCGTTCGGCCCTGTCAAATCCAGGAGAGGCGGCGGGCGAGGAGCACCTCCCGTCGCGGCTCGTGGCCACATGCCCGCCAGCACTCTCGGCAGCCCTTGGTGCCGCCCCCGATTCTCGAGCTGGAGGCTCGTCACCTCTGAGGTGGCTGGATGCGCCTTGGAGTCTCGAGCTGAAGGCCCGCTCTGCTGTGTCACAGGTCGCTCCAAGGGCTGAAGGCCCATCTTCTATGTCAATTATGCTACCTCCCGCTGCGTCTTGGACCCTCGAGCTGAAGGCTCGCTCCGTATGAGAATCTTTAGCTGAAGGCTCGTCACGTCCGCGCCTGTCTGACTGGGGGGCGGGCGGCTGACGAAAGTCTTCGGGATTAAGGGAGTGTCCAGGGAGTTGACTGGTCGCAGGATCGACCGTGGCGCTGAGGCGTCCGCTTGGGGCGCCCAAGGCTGCTGGGTCGATCGAAGCTGCTGTCTCGCTGGGAACTCCTCGGGCTGAAGGCCCGTTGTCTGTTCGAGTAGTGCTGTCAACTCCAGCGAAGGCGGGCACGTGGCGACCCATGTCGCCGCGAATGGCCACATGCCCAGCAACGCTCCCGAAGACCATTCGTGCCGTCTCCGGTTCTCGAGCTGAAGGCTCTTCATTTCTGCGGTTGCTAGATGTACCTTGGCGCCTGGAGCTGAAGGCTCGCTCAACTGTGTCAAAAGTCGCTCCAAGGGCTGAAGGCCCATCTTCCATGTTCAATTCGCAGCTGAAGGCTGCTTCACTCAGCGCAGAAGCATCCAGGAGGGGAAGTTCGGCGGAGTGAAAGCGCAAGCCTCTGCAAAGCGAGTCGGGACCAAGGGAGGGCGTCTGCCTGTCTGCCCTCCCGACGCCCTCGCGAACACCCCCTGGGGGGGCAAAATCCATAGCCCCCCCCCCCCCCCTCCACGTCGCAACGGCCCCTGGGTCGAACGTCGAGAGCACCCCCCTGGCAATCGCCAGTACGCGGACCCCGCGGACCAGGATCCGCGGGGGGGTTCGCTTGTTCAGGAGTGTGGCCCTCGCCCCCCGTAATCCCGGCACCGCCGAGGGCGATCCAGCTCTGCCCAGCACCGCCCGGAGAGAAGGAGATTGGACGTCCAGCAATGGGCATGGGAAGGGTTGGGGCGAGAGAGGGGGATAAGCTAGGCGGGAGGGCATCATGCCTGCCGTTATCAGATCCAGGGAAGCGACTGAAGGTCGCAATATCAGTGTGCATCGCGGGGTTGAACGCATCACCCCCTCCTCCCGTTTGGCTGAAGGCCAACGGCCCTCGCGCGCATGTGGCGCCGGCGGAAGCGTTCCCGCTCCAGGGAGCGAGGGGCGACGGCTGCCCTGGCGGGATGGTGTCCTGTGATCCAGGGTGAGGATGCCTTGAGTCAGCCAGTCCGCTGGCCCCGAAGTCGTCGACTGGCGACGCGGTCATCGTCTCTCCAGGGATGTCAGGACCTGGGTCTCGAGCTGAAGGCTCGTCACTTCTGTGATTACCGGATACGCCTTGGACCCTCGAGCTGAAGGCATATTTCGCGTGAGTATCTCGAGCTGAAGGCTCGTCACATCCGCGACTGTCCGACTGGGGGGCGGGTGGCGGACGAAAGTCTTCGGGGTTGCAGGAGTGTCCAGGGAGTTGACTGGTCGTTGCATCGCCGTCGGCGCCGAACAGTCCTTTTGTGGTGTCCCAAGCTGCAGGATCGTTCGATGCTGCCGTCTCGCTGGGAACTCCTCGGGCTTCAGGCCCATTCTCTGCGTGCGAAGTGCTGTCAACTCCAGGAAGGGCGGTGGGCGCGCGGCGACTCCCGTCGCCGCTCGCGGCCGCATGCCCAGCGGCGCTGGACGCGTCCAAGGGAGGGTGGTCGGCGGAGTGTGGACGTGAGCCAATGGGATGTGGATCGGGGACGTGGGCGGAATGCGCTCGGTCCGGTTCGTCCTTTCTGGAGCTGTGAGATATGCCTGTGGAGACTCCCACATCCGCTCGGGGAGGCGTCGTGGACCTCTTGTCGGGAGGAAGCTGGTCTCCAACCACGGGCGCTCCCTCAGCAGCGCTCCCACCTGTCGCCACAATACTGTTGCCCTGGGGGGGGCAATGGAGAATGAGGTGGTGGCCGACGGCCCCGGCGACTGGCAATGCGATAGCTTGAGCTCGCGCCGCCACAGGTCGAGCCCCAACCGCTTGAGCATCGACAGATAGCGCCCTCGAGGTACTGTTGTCAGGGGAGGAGCAATGGGAGGTGAGGTGGTGGCCGACAGCCCCGGCGACTGGCAATGCGGTAGCTCGAGCTCGCGCCGCGCGCTGATAGGAAGGAGGAGCTGTACCTCGACTGTCCAACAAGGGGGCGGGTGGCTGACGAAAGTCCTCGGGGTTGCAGGAGTGTCCAGGGAGTTGACTGGTCGTTGCATCGCCGTCGGCGCCGAACAGTCCGCTCGGGGCGCCCCAAGCTGCAAGGTCGCTCAGAGCTGCTGTCTCGCTGGGAGCTCCTCGGGCTGAAGGCCCATTCTCTACGTGCGCAACGCTGTCAACTCCAGGAAGGGCGGCGGGCGCGCGGCGACTCCCGTCGCCGCTCGTGGCCACGTGCCCAGTGGCGCCCCCGACAACCATTAGCGCCGCCTCCGATTCTCGAGCTGAAGGCTCTTCACCTCTGTGGTTGCTCGATGTGTCAGTCTCTGGCTCTCGAGCTGAAGGCTCGCCCTTTCTGAAGCTGCGAGATATGCCTGTCGAGACCCCCCCATCCGCTCGGGGAGGCGTCGCGGGCCCCCTGTCGGGGGGATACTGGTATCCGACCACGGGCGCTCCCTCAGCAGCGCGCCCACCTGTCGCCACAGTGCTGTTGCCATGGGGGGGCAACGGGGTACGAGGTGGTGGCTCGCGGCCCCGGCGTCTGGCAAAGTGATAGCTCGAGCTCGTGCCGCCACAGGTTGAACCCCAACCGCTTGGCGCTGATAGGAAAGAGGAGCTGTAGGAACGCCTGTCTGCCTGTCTCTGACGCGCGAAACGCCGCCCCTTCCAGGATGCACGTCCGCAACGTCCCTGGACCACTGAGCTCTCGACCCCATCCCAACGCCCTGGACCCCAGAGCTCTCGACCCCGTCGCCGCGTCCCGGACCCCCGAGCCTGCCGGGTGCGCGGCAGCTAACGGCTGCACCGGCAGTGGAAGAAACTACAGGGAATGAC